GTATCTCTGATTAGACTAACTTCACAGGTGGAACAAAGTAAGCACAGAAAGTGTGCCTGCCTAGGATGGAAGCTGAGTAGGCGATTACCTGAAGTATGTAATTTTGGAAGGGATCATGCCTAAAATTAAGGACCCACAGAAATAACCCCATAACAGGCACTCAACAAATATTTAATCAAGGAAAAAATAAATGAAGGAATCAGCATAAAACCATCTTGTAGATAAAATTTAAAAAGCATCATGTAAACTTTCCTCTTAATTTACCTCCCTTAGTCCCAACTGTTCCTATTCAAATATTAACTCTGTAGCAGTGACAATTATCATTAAAGAATATCATACTAGGAGAGAACCAAGATGGTGGCATAGGTAAACACCTGTACTTGCTTCCTCTCACAACCACATAAAAAATTACAACTAAAATGCCTAACAACTATTATCCAGATCCACTGGAAAGCTGGGTGACTGGAAGTACTGCAACTAGAGAGGTAAAGAAGAAAGCACATTGAGACTGGTAGGAGGTGCCAAGGCATGGAATGGGCTGGCACCTGGATGTGCGGATTTTTTAATTAGGAGAGAGCCACAAGCTCCTGTTTGCTCTGAGTTCCAGTGCTGGGCAAGATTCTGGGGGACCCAGACACATACAGGGAGAAACTGGACTGTTTAGCATAAAGGCAGGAATGGGGGGTGGGTGGGAGGGGACTTTTTCCAGAGGGATGTGCACACAATGGTCATTGTTCCTATGCTGGGACATCCCCGATGCACGGCTGACTGGCAGCCATTGCTGTTTGCTCAACCCTGGAGATTCCCTGAGACCCCACCCCACCCAATTTACAACCCACCCAAGCTGTATGCAGCAGCTTTTGCATATGAATGACCTGACCTTTCTCAGCCTAAAACATGTCAAATAAGCTGCAGCTTGGTCAGAGAGCCTCAAAGCTATCAAAAGAAGGCCCAAGGCCAGCACCAGCACCAGCCTGCCTTGCTTCACAAATGGACATTGTCTGGGCATTTCCAAACCTGATACAAAGAGGAAGAATCTGTAGATCTCTCTGTAGCTCCTGCTAGATGACCCCAGGCAGTGGCTGACTTTGCACCCCCTTAAAGATCCAAGAGCCAGTGTACCCAGTGGTCAGTGTGAGACCATACCAGATTATAACTCTTAACATCCATAAGCAATACACTCAAGGGCAGACTCAGTGAGCACCAAAGCCCCACTGAAGCAAGTCCTGCACCATAAGCTCTTCCATTGTAGACACAGCTAGTCCTCACAGTCAATTGGCCTGGAGGTCAATTCCTCCCAGTGATACCAACAGCAATCAAGGCTTAACTATAACAAGACTGTGCACCAGCCCACAAACGTGATTGGGGAAGCTGAGCCACTGTCTCTATAGGACACCTGCTATACAAGACAACTCTATCAACTCAAGGAGACTTAGCAGCTACCCAATACATAGAAACAAACACAGAAAAGCAACTAAAATGCAAAGACAAAGAAACATGTCACAAATGAAAGAAATGGAAGAAAGCAAATTACTGGATATTGAGTTCAAAATCACAGTTGTAAAGTTACTCAAGAATCTTCTAGAAACTTCCAAGGTACTTAGTGACTCCTTCAAGGAACTTAGTGAGAATGCAAAAAAATAAATAAATAAATAAATAAAATAATAATAATAATAATAATAAAATGGAGAATGATCAGTCAGAAATTAAGCATACACTGACTGAAATAAAGAACAATATGCAGAGATTCATAGTAGAGGATCCCAAGAATCAAGTCAAATATTTGAAATATGAGGAAGCAAGAAACACCCAATCAGAAGAGCAAAAAGGAAAAAGAATCCAAAAATATGAAGATAGTGTAAGGAGCCTCTGGAACAACTTTAAGCATACCAACATCTGAATTATGGGGGTGCCAGAAAAAGAGAGAGCAAGATATTAAAAACCTATTTGAAGAAATGATGACAGAAAATTTCCTGGTGAAAGAAATATTCTTACAAGTCCAGGAAGCACAGAGAACCCCAAACAAGAGAAATCCAAAATGGACTACATCAATACACATCATAATTAAAATGCCCAGGGTAAAAGATAAAGAGAGAATCTTAAAAGCAGCAAGAGAAAAATAGTTACCTACAAGGGAGTACCCATACGACTGTCAGCTGATTTCTCAACAGAAACTATGCAGGCCAGACCGGAGTGGCAATAAATATTCAAAGTGATGAATAGCAAGAACCTACAACCAAGCAAAGCTATCATTTAGAATTTAAGGTCAGAAAAAGAGCTTCATAGATAAGAAAAAGCTAAAGGAGTTCATCACAATCAAACCAATATTATAGTAGGAAATGCTGAAGGGTATTCTTTAAGAAGAGGAAGAAGGAAAAGGTAAAGATAAAAAATTATGAACAGCAAAGTGACAACAAATACCTATCTATTAACAACTGAATCTAAAAATAAAATGAATAAAAAATCTGATGAACAGAATAAACTGGTGATTGTAATAGAATCAGAGGCATGGAAATGGAGTGGACTGACAATTCTCAGGGGGAAAGGGATGTGGGGTGCAGGAAGAGTTGTAAAGTTATATCTTATATGCATGTATGCAGTACCTATAGACGTAAACAGTGGGGTTGTGAGGGCCTGTGGTGGGGTGGGAATATGGTGGGGGGAGAAGAGGGACAACTGTAATAATCTGAAAAATAAAGATTTTAAAAATAGAATATCATACTAGAACTCATAGAAAATGTTTACCCATCTTTCTACAGATAAAAATAATTGTATAGCATCTGTCTGGTTTGTCTGACCCACAAGCCCAGTGTGGCCCTTGTAAGTTAGTGTTACTGTTCTTACTACTGCACAGCCCCAGCTTGGTTCTCACCATCTTCTTCCATATGTCCATTAACTCTAGCAAGTGCCTCCATGAGGAGATCCACAAGGACCTGCTGGTGACCAGCACATAGGAGATCACCAGCAAGTAAGGAAGTGCAGATAGCCTGTGCACTCACCTCAAGATTACAGATTCTGTGCTCCAAAGAGGATGCAACCAAAGGGATATTTGCCATTATCACTGAAAATTATAACATGTTCAAAGTGTGTTTTAAGAGCAAGGAAACAAGGTGGATACCTGACCAATTCATGATTCTAGACATGAAGCATGGTGTGGAGGTAAAAAAAAAAATTACAAAATGATCACAAAAATTGACAAGTCCAAACATTTAGAGGTGTTGATAGGAAACCTAGAAGACCTTTCAGAATCTATCGTTAATGATGTTGTCTATATGAAGGAATGAGAGGAGGAGATGCATGTTACCAGAGCATCAACAAACACTCAGGTCCTGTACTTCAGCATCTTTTCAATGCCTCATTGGACTAGCCAATTGGCAGGTCTTCTGCCTTGAGCACTTCTTTAAGACCAAGAAATTGATTGAGTAATAATGCCTACTACCCTCCCACCTTGTATCAGCCAACAGAACGTCCCTAGGAGGTGCCTGGCTTGAGGCATTCTCCCAACATCACCTTCACTGCACATTGAAACTTTCTTGCCAGAACTTTCTGGTGTGGGAGGACATAGGTTACCACCTAAACCAACAAATCAATGAGGGACCTGTTTTCATCTTGATAGTATTTGGACTGGTTTTACAACAATAGACCTATTATTAGAGTCACCTATGACAAAACATACGAGTTATCTAGGTAATGCCAGAGCCAACATTTGATCACAAGGTTTCCTCCTGTGCTTAAAGCATGCTTTCTTTCCTTTTCCCATTTGCTCACCAGTTTGGGCTTCGATTCTAGTTCCTTTACAAGGATTAGTATGTTCATGTGAAACTTGTTTCATTCTCAATGTCTTCTTTAGATTTCCATATGTTAATACCTTTAGCTTCATCTTATCCCTTAACTGAAATGTTTAGGTAGCTTCAGGTGGTATCTTTTCATAATTTTATGTCTCTTAAAAGGGTGATAGATAGCCACCTCATAGAAATGAGCTTTGAACTATAGGTAACTCTTTAAGAGAAAATTTAATTTGAGATAATTAAAAATTTGTGCTCAATGCTTGTGCTTTTTCTTCTAGTGTATTTATGTGTATTTTGTTTCATGCATTTTTACTAGATGAGTAGATTCATGTGACCACCATGGAAAAATGCAGGACAGTTCCATCATACAGATCTCTTGTGTTACCCTTTTAAAGCCATAGCCATATCCTCTGCTTCTCCCGAACTCCAACCTCTGGCAACCACTAATTGTTCTCTTTCCAATTTTATCATTTCAAGGATGTTATTTAAATAGAATCATATAGTATGTAAATATTTGAGATTAACATTCTTTCACACAGCATAATTCCCTTCAAATTCATCCAAACTGTGGTATGTATCAATAATTTGTTTCTTTTTATTGATCAGTAGTATTTCGTGGTATGGATGAATCACAGTTTGTTTAATCACTTACCCATTGAAGGACATTGGGGTTGTTTTCAGTTTTAGACTGTTACTAATAAAGTTGCTGAAAATATTTTAAAAAAATAATAATTATGAGCAGTGATAGAATTTTCAAAAGTACATGAAATTAGGTCTTTGAATAATAAAAGCTAAGACATTATTATCTTGTGTTGTATCATACTGACAGAATTTCTATCTTATGGAGAAACCCATCACCACCATGTGTAACTGAAGCCCCCAAATTTATTAATCACAGAGGTCCCTAACTTGTACTACTCAAGGGTGGCATTTATGGACACAGCCATGTATGTGGCACCCTGCAATTTGTAATCTAGTGCCCCCATAGTTATTCTACTCAAAACCTATTATTGCATTTGTTGCTTCTCCAAAGTCTCAGTCTTTAAATGGGCTTGGTCTAATTTTTTTCATATCTTGATCTCATATTAATTAGTAGATCTGCAAAAGTTTGATCTAAATGAATGCATTGTTCTCTCTCTCTCTCTCTCTCTCTCTCTCTCTCTCTCTCTCTCTCTCTCTCTCTCTCTCTCTCTCTCTTTGACTGGAACTCAGGAAGAAAAGGACTCCCAAGAAGAACCTAGATGCCTTCAGTTGGAACAGAAGATGACATCAGGTAGAGTACATTCCGTGTGACACATTCTTTCCTGGGCTGCTTTGACTGACAGCAGGGCGCATTTCCATTTGCAATGGAAAATCTTATATGCTGAGTGATTGGAAACATAACTAGAAATGTCACTTGTGATGAATTCCAGGCACAATATCTGGACAATCTTGTCATGATGCAGAAAATAGCTTCTCTTCTTCCTTCTCTTATCGATTACAGTTGTTGTTTTTTAAACCCTCACCCTAGAATAATTTTCCATTGTTTTTTTTGTTTGTTTGTTTGTTGGTTGGTTTTTTTTTTTTTTTTTTTTTTTTTTTTTGAGAGAGTAGAAGAGAGGGAGAGAAGGGGGGAGAGAGAAAGAAACATTGATGTGGGAGATATATCCATTGGTTGCCTCCAGCTCACACCCTGACCACAGCCAGGGATTGAACCTACAACTGAAGTATGTGCTCTTGGCTGGCAATTGAACCCATGACTCTTCAGTCCACAAGCTGATGTTCTAACCACTGAGCAACCCAGCCGGAGCTGATTATAGTTTTTGCTGAATAAGTACTTGCAATGAAGTACATAAATATTATGATGAAGAAATTTCAAGTTCAGTTATCTTATATAACGTCTTATGCAACATCTTATGCAACGTCATCACAAGATGGCCACCACAAGATGGCCAGCCGGGGAGGGCAATTGAGAGTGAACAGGCCTTCAGGGGAAGGCAGTTGGGGGAAGACCAGGTCTGCAGGGGAGGGCAGTTAAGGGTGATCAGGCTGGCAGGGGAGAACAGTTGGGAGTGACTGGGCCAGCAGGGGAGGGCAGTTGGGGGTGATTGGGGAGCAGTTATATGTCAATCAGGCTGGCAGTGGAATAGCTAGGGGCAATCTGACTGGCAGGCAGAAGAAGTTAGGGGCAATCAGGCAGAAAGGCAGGCAAGTGGTTAGGAGCCAGCAATCCTGGATTGTGACCAGCATTCAGACATTCCCCAAGGTGTCCCAGATTGGAGAGGGTGGAGGCTGGGCTGAGGTCCCCCCCCCCCCCCCCCCGCCCCTGCATGAATTTCGTGCACATTTGCTGTTGTATTTTTATGTTAGTGTATAGTTAAATATGCAACTTTGCTAAAGATATTTACCCCATACTAGAACTTTCTATGAAATAATATGGAAACAAATGATGAGCAAGTTTCTAACTTAGTTTCTAACTATGAACAGTACTGATAATGGGATGTAATTGGGCCAGACAAACCAGATTACTGAGTGGAACTAATAATAATGAAAACTAAATCTTAATACTCTCAGCTTCTCTTTTCCAATGACTTTTTGTTTTATATCATTAGAGGTTAGAAGCGGGCTCCAGATGTGTTTGCTGCTGGCAGAGGCTCATGTTCTTGTAATTTAATGGAAATCAGGGAGCAGAATTAAGAACATGGAAATGGTAATGAAAATAATATGTAGAGTGAAGGGGGAAAGATGGTACTCTGCTCTGATAGAGATGGAAAAGAGAGAATTAGCAATTAACCAGCTCCCTCTACTCCCAGGATCTACCTCCACCAATAACAAAAATTTCCTCTTTCCAGGACACTCTCCCCTTGCAGGTCCACATGACTGGCTGACTCCTTCTCATCAGGTCTCAGCTGAAAGGTCCAGTGCCCCAGGCCACTGTCTTGTTCCTCCAAAGCACTCTTCATCTTATTGCCCATTTTTATTTTGTTCATATCACCCATTATTTCATGCATTTTTACTAGATGAGTTCATATCACCCATTGTCTAACTGAAGCCCCCAAATTTATTAATCACAGAGGCCCCTAACTTGTACTACTCAAGGGTGGCATTTATGGACACAGCCATGTATGTGGCACCCTGCAATTTGTAATCTAGTGCCCCCATAGTTATTCTACTCAAAACCTATTTTTGCATTTGTTGCTTCTCCAAAGTCTCAGTCTTTAAATGGGCTTGGTCTAATTATTTTTTCAAAATAATCTTTCTGTTGATGGGTTTATCTTCTTAATGTCCCCTGGAGAATAAGATCTTAGCTACTTTAATGTTATTCCTAGCACATGGGGCAGTGCCTGCCACACAGTAATCAGTCAGAAAATTCTTACTGAGGCCTCATGTCCCCTATGTGAGAGGCGTTTTTTTTCTCTCTGTAACTGAGATGTGGGTGGGCTGGTTTTGATGCCAGCTAAGTCCATGCCTATTTTGGATTTCTGGGGTATAAAAAAATAAGACAGATGCTTGCCCTCCATAAAACAAGTCATGTCTAAGAGACAGATGCAGTTAGGACATGAAAAGTAACGTATAAAAAGGTTGATACAATTAAAGTGCTACTGGGAGCACTGAGGAAGGGGCAACTAAATTTGTTTTGGGGAAGTAGAATCTAAGAAGTCTACTGAGCTAGATGATTCTTGTACTGAATATGGGAGGAGGAAAGGAGGTATTGAAAACAATTGGGGTTTGTTGTTATACCTCTGAAAATATCCTGAGTGCCACTTTTGATTTTGGTTTCCCCAGCTAGAGAAGAAGGCTGAAGAATGGCCATTGCTGACTCAATACAAATTTGGCCAACCAAGAAACTTTGTTTCTCAGCTGCTGTTATAAGCAATATTCTTCACGCTCTTGGCATAGTGTTCACTATATTTCGAGGACATTTGTTCACATCCAAAGCTTTGATTACCCTGTATGTCATGTAGGCACCACTACTCATCAAAACTTATCTAGGACCAGTTGACTCCCATGAGCTCTGCTGTGACATCTCAGGATGAGAAATCAGATATTCCATTTTCAAACATCCACTAGAGTTCCTAGATTATTAGGCCTTTGTGTATTTTACCAGAAATCTAGTGTAGTGTTAAAAATTTCCCTTACCCAATACATTTAGAATCAGAGATCTCCATGAAACATCATTCTGCAGAGCAGGAGGGACACATTTAGTTAGAAATCTATAATCTCAGTTTCTTTGTGACCAGATTATATGGTTTTAGATTTTTGGTTGTAAATAAATGAATATTTTCCCTGTTTTCTTTAAACAATAACATCACCTAATAAACCTATTCTCTTAAGTGTCCCCATGATTCTCTCACCTTGGTCACAAGTGAAACATCTCCATAGAGTCTAAGGCAAGTTCACTGATTTCACAGGTGAAGAAAATCTAGGCCACTCAAAGGAAAGATTTCAAGCAGAAAATGCAAACTTTCTCACTATTTCTAAAATAAAAAAATAATGTTTGGGCGACACTGACCCTGGGTCTTGCTGAAGAGTTTGTCTTCTTGATTCAGGATTTACTCCGAATGTGTGTTTTTATACTGTGGCTTTAGTGTTGCATCTTAGTTTTAGTCCATTCAATTCAGATCTACTGTACTTAGCCATTATTTGAAATCCTATTTGGTATAAATTGTGTTTGCTAGACTAAACTATGTTTACTGAAATACGTTAACTAAAATATGTTTACTGAATGTCTACTATATGCTAATATTGTGCTAGGAAGTATGCTATATTTAGATTGGAAAATAGAACAGACACAACTCCATGCTTTATGGAGCTTGTGGGAAAGGAAAAATGCAGCCATTACACATATGGAAAAAAATGTAAATTATAGCCTTAAACAAATAAAAGTTACAGATAAAGCAGGGTTCTGTGGAAACCTTGTCTTCACAGAGCTTATTGTTAAATAGGGCCTATAAAACATGGACACAGAAAGCTTAGGCAAAGATAGGATACAGTACAGGCTAAAACAGAGACATAAAGAAGAGGGATGAGAGTGCCAAAGGGGTGGGAGAAATTTCATTTGGAGGATCTAGGAAGCTATCCAAGAGATTGTGGCATATGAGCCTACTCTTGAAGGATAGATATGAAATCTGTTTGTGAAGAGAAACACATTAGCCAATATATTTATAAAATGAAAACCAGATTGAATCCAACATGATATCTATTTGGAATTCAGCCCATTTTTTGGTTGGTGATTTCTTAGACATCTGTCACTTTATCCTGATGTCTATAATTTACACTTGCAGGGCCCACCCAGGGGGTAATGGCAGGTTGATTAGGGGTTTGTTTAAACTTTGCCACCCCCATTACCCATTTTTTTCAAATAATTCAGTGTTGTATACATTTGAGTTTTTTCTGTTTGTTTTGTTGTTGTTGTTTAGTAAGTGGCCTACCTGTAATAGACAGAAGCCTAATGCCTGCTTAGGATTAGATGGCATTTGTTCCTGACTTCATGGACATACTAACTGAGTGAATAGGGTAGCCCACAATAAGTCCTTTTTTAATGTGATACCACGTGGGTTGCTGTCAGCTGATGCTCCATTTCAGCAAGACCAGTGTGGGACAGTTTCATCAGATGCCTGCAGCCTGGCCCCTCTGTGCCCTGCCCTTCCTCAGAGGGATTCCTTCCTCACTACCTTAGGTCCCAAGTCTCTTTACCATCAAAAAGACATGCAATCAGTTTCTATTAATTAACATAATTGTGTTGACTCTTCTTCAGCCTATTGTCATTGAGAGTTGTAAATTCACCAATGGAATGAAAAAAATTGGTGGCTGCTAGGAGTTTGAAACATCAGTAAAGAAGGGGAGGGGCACTTCTGGCTACAGACCCAATGCATGATTAGCCACTTTCTTGATCATAGCCTAGGAAGGCCTTGAATCATGGGGGCACTTAATGACTGTCCCATAAGACTGCTTGCTCCTTAGAAGCTGTGTCTGTTTACAAGTGATGTTATATCCTTTATTGAAAGGTGCTATTTTATAGATGCAGTACATCTGATAGAGCGTTCAATATAAAATAAAGAAAAAACTGAACCTGGGAGATGCACAAGGTAAGGGGAGAATGAGGTAATTCATCCATGAAGGATGATGATTAAGTGAAGGTATCATGAAGAAAAAATATCTATACTTCAGAGTTCCTTTGATGTGACTGTGACGTTGTATAATAAAGAAAAAGCAAAGACACTTTAATAGTAACAAGAGAGAGATTATAATTCCAAACTGAGAGAACTGTACATCAGTGGGAAGGCACAATTT